ATACATTGTCACAATATAGCAGTGGGGGTTGAGCTCCAATAATACACAGATCCTTGAGGAGTTGTCGAATCCAACAAAGCTCTACTGTGGTAACAGCCAATGCTCTATACTCTGCCTCTGTGGAGCTACGAGACACGGTGGATTGCTTCTTGGCTGCCCATGAGATGGGATTAGTGCCTAAGAAGATAACAAGATCGGTGGTGGAACGACGATCAGAATAATCACCCGCTCAATCAGAATCTGAGTAAGCAATCAAATTCAAGGATCGAAGAACTGAAGCATCCCTACGAAATAAAAGACCTGAAGATAGAGTACCATTAATATACCTCAATATTCGTTTAGCAGCTACCAAATGACAATGTAGAGGAGCATACATATATTGAGACAACTTTCCAACATAAAAGACAATGTCAGGTCTTAAAAACATAAGGTAATGTAAAGCACCAATCATGGCGTGATAAACACAACCATCTTCATCAGAGCAAGGATTAGAATCAGCAGCAGATGAAGTAAGTGAAATAGGTGTAGCACAAACCTTGGAACTCAGCATACCAAACCTAGAAAGAATATCACGAGATTATTTGGCTTGATGGACTGAAATTCCAATAGCAGAATAACCAATCTCAAGCCCCAAAAAGTACTTCAAGGTACCAAGTCAATCATATCAAACCGAAGACGGAATTGGGAGACCAAATCATCAATTTAAGATAAGTTGCTGCGTGTAACAATTATATCATCCACGTAGAGAAGAAGATATGTGATAGAATCATCTAAATGTTGCACAAACAGTGAAGAATCGGCATGAGAAGCTTCAAAGCCAAGAGTAAGCAAGTGGGACGTAAAACACTCATTCCAAGCATGAGGTGCCTATTTTAAACTATAAAACGACTTCAGCAACTTACAAACTTACTGAGGCTAAGAAGAACTTACAAAGCCTTGAGGTTGTTGCATATAAACCTCTTCATGAAGCTCACCATGGAGGAAAGCATTTTTAACATCTAATTGTCTAAGGGACCAACCAAATTGGACAACAACAGAAAGGATAATCCTTACGGTTGGTTTCTTTACAATAGGACTAAATGTTTCCTCATAATCAATTTCGGATTCTTGATCATACCTTTTTGGTACTAAATGTGCCTTATAACGAGCAACACTCCCATCTGGATTATGATTTATTCGATACACCCACTTACAACCTATAGTAGTCTTCCCAATAGGCAAAGGAGTAAGGACCCAAGTATGTTGATTAACAAGAGCATCAAACTCTTCAGACATAGCATTTTGCCACTGAGGTAATTTCGAAGCAGCTGTAAAGGAAGTAGGTTCCATAGACTCAACAGAATTAGAGGTCATAAAGGCTTTTCTTTTGGATATACCAGATTTCCTTCGCGTTTGCATCGGATGAACATTATTAGGTAGAGCAACAATAGTTAAATTGGATAAAGTAGGTGCTGTAGGTGGCAAGACATCATAATGTATCGAAGAACCCTCATTATGGACAGAAACATGAGGTGTCTGAGGAGCATGTGATGATTGAGAAAAATTACTGGAATGATGAGTCATAGTGGGTGAGGAAGAAGATAAAGGAGATGTAGGAGATATAGTTGAAGGTTGTGAAGCAGAGGAAACATCAGGACAGAAGAGAGAATATAAGAGATGAAGAATAGAATAGGAAGAAGAAGGAGAAGAGGAAGGCACGGTAGAAGAATAAAAGGGAACATTAGAGAAGGGAAAAATAGATTCATCAAAGATGACATGACGAGAGGTGTAAATATGGTCGTTACTCATGTTGTAGCACAAATACCCCTTGTAGTCTAGCGGATAACCTAAGAAAACACATTGAGATGTTTCTGGTTGAAGTTTATGAGATATATATGGTTTGAGTAAAGGATAACAAGCACATCCGAAGACCTTAAGAGAGGAGTAATCAGGAGAACGATGAAACAATAGTTCATATGGAGATTTATGGGATAAAGAAGGAGAAGACAGCCTATTAATAAGAAAAATAGCAGCGGAAAAAGCAAAAGGCCAAAATTTAAGACGAAGAGAAGATTTCGAAATAAGGTAAGAGCAACTTCTATGATATGACGGTGTTTTCTTTCAGCAGTGTCGTTTTGTTGAGGGGTGTAAGCACAGGACTTTTGATGCATAATGCCATGAAGACCAAGAAAAGAACTTAGATTGTGATTAACAAACTCACCTCCCCCATCACTGTGTAGAATTTTAAATTTAGAGGAGAGTAAATTTTCAACTAACGACTTAAAATGCTGAAAAATAGTATGAACATCAGATTTTCGAGCAATAGGAAATAACCAAGTATAATTGGACATATCATCAACAAATGACACATAGTAATTGAAGTCGTTTATTGAAGTTTGAAGAGCAGGGCCCCATACATCACTATGAAGTAATTCAAGAGGATACAATGACACAGTAACCGAGGAAAAGATTGTTGGGTGTGTTGCTCTAAACTCGTGGTTTGTATTTGTGTAAAAACAAATGTATATTCAATAAAGTTTTATTCAATAATTTTGTTGTTGAATTCATAGCATTGCATTGTCCAAAATCTAATAAACTAAACATCCGAGGTTATTTTAGTGTAACCGGGATAGTATATGTACTGGGTATATATTTGATATACTAGGTATATATTTGATATACCCTTGATATACAAGGTATATATTTGATATACCCTGATATACAAGTGGATAATGTCCCGTGAATAACCTAAAGGGTCTATAGTATATGGATAAGGCTGGGTACCTTATCCTGAAACACTATGGATACGGCCCACTCTGTAAAGGTTACAGATGACTCGATCCAGGTCGTCCGTGTGGAGACATGCGAGTGGGGCTATCCTATACAATGAGTTTGTATAAGATCGGACCACGAAATAGCCAATCTTTAGATGTAACAACGTTAACTAATAGATTGTTGTTTCTTAGGATGACCAGACAACTCATTCTCAATCCTGAGTGTGTTATGGACTCCTGCTCGTGAGGGCTCGTCCTTTGATCTGTATGGGTAAGAGTGGCCCAAGTTGCCGACTCAACATTCCTACCATTTTGGGGACGAGACCGAGTGCGGAGCTGAGAACATAACTTCACAAGATGGAATTCACTCATCTCCGACTTTAGGGGAGTAGATGAGTCTTCCCTTAAATGCTGACTCTGGGACTTGAACAAGGGGCCCCACCCTCTCATTGGCCCAAGAGGGACTTCTGGTTATTGGTCGGACCATAACCGAGTTGTTCATTAGAGGAGCAGTGGTATTTAAGAAGTAAGGTGTAACTCAGGAGTAAAACGGTAATTTGACCCAACTTGAGTTACGAGCACTCGTGAAGGATTGACTTGTCATTAATGGTCGTATATCCGTGGACACGAAAACATTCTGCAGTGAGAAGAGTGCAACTGCAGGTCTTTAGTGGAATGACCCGTAGTTAACGACTGTTGATTAACTCGGTAAATGAGTTTGACCGATTAATCTCGTATCGTTGGAGCTTCGGATCTGTAGGTCCATTAGGTCCCTTTACTAGATCATAACGGGTAGAACGAGGTCAAGTTTTGGAAGAATTTGAATTGTTCAAATTACTAAAGAGATTATATGTATATTGATACATTATAATATATAGTTAATTATAAATTAAAACTATATATTATGAAAGAAATTATTTGAATGAGATTCAAATAAAATTAATATGAATAAGATTCATATTAAAACTATAGGTTAAAAATAATGTGCATAAGATGTACATTAGAACTATAGGTTATACGAGAGAATATGGTTTAATTAAATATGAGATATTKAATTAAATGTTAAATAATTAATTGTTAATTATTTAATATTACATTTAGTTAATTAATTATTAATATTAATTAATTATTAATTTGATTAATAATTATTTAATTTATTAATTATATTAATATAATTAATTAATATAATTAATTAATAACTCCCCTACATTATTGCAGGGGAGTGTGGAGTTATGTGAAGTGGGGTAACTCCTGACATCACTTGTTTTTTCTGGGATTGCACAACTGTTCTGAAACAGAACAGAGAAAAAAGCTCTCCCAGTTCTCTCAATCGATCTCTCTCAAAAATCCCCTCTTCTTCCAAACGAAACGCTCCCACAAGCGTGTTCTTGAGACCAAGAGGATAGCACGGAAGACTCATTGGTAGTGTCGGGAAATTCATTGAAGAAAAGTTCTTCAAAGGTAATTTTTCCCCTGTGGTTTTCTTTTTGCACTTTGTGATTTTGTTTCCCAAATATCACGAACAACGGTCCGCTTCCCCTCCGGGATTCACATCCCTTCAAAGATAACCTATGCATTTGATTCATAGAACAAAGAACAAAGCTAAGAACAGTCGAAATGGGATGGCCTATCGTCCCAAACTTAAGAGGACGTGCGAGCTCCGACATGAGCAACATTAGGCCGAGATAGAATTTGATCATGTGATGGAAGAATATAAGAGTGAATGGGATATAACCCATTAATACTAGGGCCTTGAAAGAGAATCCGACTCCAAGAGTTTTCTTGAATGAGAAACTTATTAGCATTAGAGGTTATGGAACAACCGTTATCAAGGCAAAGTTAATGATCATAAATTAAATTGGACGAAATATCGGGTGAGTAAGAAAGATGTTTGAGAACAAGTGAGGAAGAAGAGGTGTGTAAAAGACCAGAACCTGAATGAGTTATGGGTAAAAAATGGTCGTTGCCCACAGTAATTTGCTCATCACCACTGCATTTAGAGGCACCTGTTAGCTGACCATAATTGGAAGTAATGTGAGTATTACATCCTGAGTCTGTAAGCCAAGCACCACCACTTCCAACATTGGACGAACCAGAAACATTATAAGCAGCCTGATTTTGGGCAGCAACCATTGTTGCTAATTGGATAGGAGGATGCCGGCCCTAAAAGTTGTAGTTCATCCGATTGTAGCAGTCTAGAGCACAATGTCCAGTGCCGCCACAAATTTGACAAACGATGTGATGGTGTTAAGTATCAGAAGACGACTGATTCGATTGAATTTCAAATGGTATAGCAGTACCTGAAAAGCCACGGCTTCTACCACCAGTGGTACCCAGAGAGGATATTTTGGATCGATTATTAGGATTAGGGAATTTTCCTTTACCACCACCATTGAAACCTCGAACACGTGGAATATTAGGGTTAGAATTCTGACCTTTCGTAGCCATGTTCGCAAGGAGAGTAGAAGACTGAACAAAGACTTCATCGTGCTTGGTCTGTTTATCAATCGCTGCTTCCTCATAAACTAATAGGACATAGAGCTCTTCAAATGATACAGATTGAGAGCGAGTGCACATGGAAGTACAAAATGCATTGAATTCGGGTGGTAGACCATTGAGAGTGTAGATGAGCAGATCTTCGTTGTCAACAAGAACAGATACATTTGCAAGTTTGTCCTTCAGTTCTTTAATTCGCTGCATATAGAGATCAATGGATTCACCAGGTTTCTTGCTGATAGACTGAAGATTTGACTTCAAATTTACCACATTTGTTCTGGACGAGGATGAGTAGTACTTCACCAAGGTTTGCCAAACCTGTTGAGACGAATCACACCCAACCATATATGCAAGAGCCGATGGTGACAGAGTAGCATTCAGAAGAGTCATGAGAGCATGATCTTTGGCGATCCAGTCGCTAAAAGCCGGATTCACAATAGGCGAAGTAGATGACAAACTATCAGAAGACGAAACCAAGAACTTAGCAGGTTTCGGTGTCGATCCATCTATAAAGCCATAAAGTTTATGGGCTTTAAGGATTGCTGCAAGTTGAAACTTCCACATACGAAGTTGGAAGAATCGAGTCGAAGAGATACCAAATTATAGATGTTAGACAGCAAAAAGATGGGAGATGAAAGATCTTAAGGTGGTTGCGAAGAGTTTGCCATGAATACAAATGAGAGAGAGCAAGCAAAAAAAAAAATTTCGGGCAAAAAACAACACATATGACTTATGCACTAGAGAACGTGAAAACAGGATCAAGATGCTGAGTCATAAGCCATCTGATACCATGTTAGGAGTACTCTTCTCATTGATTTGATGATAATGTAGGCTTGCATATATAAACATATTACAATACCGAACTGCCTAACCAATTAACTGTACTAATAACAACTTAGTAACATATTTAACATCTATCATTAATATTGGTGTTCTAATGATTGGTATCTATTCATTGTACTCACTGTTGTTTGAAAAGAAGTCATAGCCTTTCTACTTTTAACGTTTTTTAATTATATCTTTCTAAGGTTTTTAATTTTTTTTTAATTTTTTAATTTTTTTTTGAAATGGTAATTTCTAAGTTGGTGAATAATAAACATGACTACTACCCACCCATACCTAACATGATACTTAAAGAACTCATTTGATAACACGATGATTTTTTTTTTTTTTTTTGGTTTTCTCCGTTCTTAGTTTAAAATTTTTACAACTAGTTTTTGTTTCTGGTTTAAAAAAAATAATCATGTTTGATAACCATTTTTTATTTTATGTTTTTAAAAAGTTAGAGAGTCGTGGAAAGATATATTATATAGAAAAAAATCTATGTAAAGTAGTGATGAAAATGAGATAGCGTGGAAGTCGGGCATGCCCTCCAATCCTTATCCTTGTGGAAATTTTTACTCCCATCCTCACCTAATTCTTCAATTTATTTTTAGAATTTATAAATAAAAATGAGTAAAAATATATAAAACTATTATTTACTACTATAAATAATTAGTTTTAAAAAGATATTTAATATTTTATTCTTAATTTAGCACGATACTTAATACAGTATATTTTTATCATTTTAAAAAGTGGAATGAGTGACGGGATGGGGGAATGATAGGAAACACTTCCCATTTCTCTTAGCAGGTACCATCCCTGCAGGGATATTTGTCATCCTAAATATGAAATAAAAGTTTAGACAAATAAAAATAAATTTTAAAGGAGATTTTAGGGACAATATATTTAGAGAGTAGTGATAGAAAAGTTAAAACAAAAAGAAAAAATTTTAGATAAAACGAGCAAAGGTTGAAACAAAAAAATGTTAGAGAATGAACTATGCCAGAGGGAAATGGAAGAGAAAAAAAAGGGAAATTTGCAATTGATAACTAAAATATTTGTCCTATTTTACAAATATAACAACAACTTTTGAGTATTACAATAATGACAAAAATTTTTAAATATGACTTTTAAAATTTTTATTATTCCAAGTTTATCCTTTCAGATATATCAATAGTATATGAAATCAASTATATCATTGGTATATCAACACTCATATAAGGTATATCATTATAAATGATATGCCTTGATGTATTACATATAAGGTAACATTAATTAACTTATCATCTAGCTTAATATACTTCATACTAAGTACCGTTATTATTGATGTCGTCATATCCTATATCACCGATATACTTCGCATATTAGTGACATACTTGACATGCCTTATGTGTACATCAAAGAATATCCGATATACTTTGATGTAATACATACTATATATATTTCATTGTAATTGATTTACATTACATCAGTTATAACTAATACACATAGTATAAGTAATATAAAGGTATATCAGTTGATATACTTATTATGTGGAGTATATAAATCATTATATACTTGATATACATAATTTGAAGTACATCTTTTTGAAGACCCTGATTTCGTCATTTTCAAGACCTATGTTATAAGGCTGTTATGGTATTACTTCTATCAATTGATTCACGATACTTGAAACATGTGTTCTTAATGTGAGAAATTCTTTTATTTTCCTAATAAATTTCATGGAATTTAGGGTATTTGTCACAAGTTAGATCGGTGATCAAACATAATTCTTTTCGATCAAATCTTGCTATATTTCCTTTAATGTTAAAACATCATGAACTTTATTTGATAACCTAAGTAATTAAATGTATAAGAATTGTTAAATAACAAATGATAAAAAATGTCCAAAAGAGTCATTAATTTGGACAACTATAATTGGGTTAGGGACAAAAATTTATATGCCGTTATCTAAAATGTATAATTTTGATCAGTAAAACTGAACTTTAACCCATGATTCTAAATGAATTTTTTTTTTCAAGTAAAACATAGTATATCAATATTCAACTGTATCATTATGGTATATCAGCATTCATAAAGTAAGATATTTAGATAGTTCACTTACTTCAAGTTTATGCTCAGGTGTGGCTAGCAAGACTTTGTTGCCTTAAAAGTAAGCTTAGTATTGTTGGACCACTGGAACCTGTTTTTTTAAATCAATCCAAAAAATTAAAATATTTCATACAAACGAGTTTTGCTCCGTGTTTTAACCTTCACTGCACCACGTTCGGTGCTTTAAAGTTTTAGTGAGTAAAAAACAAAAATATTTCTTCAAAACGACTTTTACGCACTTTTGAACCTTAAGTAAACCAACATTTGTTTCTTTTCAGATTTGATCAGTCCCAATAAAAAATAAAATAAAATTCATGCAAACGAGTTTTGCTCCCCGTTTGAACCTTGACTGCACCAGGTTCGGTGCTTTGCAATTTTGTAAGTTCAATAATTCGCCCAATCAACCTTTACCCACTTCTTAAAACTCAAGTAGACAACATTTTGCTTCATTTGAGTTTTAATAAGTCCATAAACGAAAAATATATATATATATATATATTTCGTGCAAACAATTTTGGCTCCATAGTTCATCCTCAATTGCACCAAGGAATAAGTTCGATGCTTTGCAATCTATAAGTCCAAACCAAAAATATTTTGTCCAAAGGACTTTTTCTCAGTTTTTGAACTTTAAGCAGACGAAGTTTTTTACTTTTCATTTTTAATTAGGCCCAAAAACATGTAGTTCGTGTAAACGAGTTTTACTCCGTCTGAACCTTGATTACGCTAGGGTTGGGCTTTGTAGTTTTATTGAGTCCAAAATAAAAATATTTCGCCCATTCAAATTTTATTCCTTTTTGAGTTTTAATTTGTCCAAATAATAAGATAATATTCGTGCAAACAAGTATCGCGTCTAGTTTTAGTTTGATCCTTTAGTTCACAAGGTTCGGTGCTTTGAAGTTTTAGTGAGTCCAAAACAAATCTGATTTGCCCAAACGACTTTTACTCAGTTTTCGAACTTTAAGTAGACAACTTTTGTTTATTTTGAAATTTAATCAGTCCTAAAAATAAAAATATTTCGTGCAAAGAAATTTGGCTTAGCTTTATGTTTGAACCCTGACTGCAGCAGGATAAGTGCTATGTAGTTTCATTGAATATATATATAAGAAAAATAGAAATCATCCAGATAACTTATAGAAGCTTTTTAACCTCATGTAGACAATCTTTTGTTTCTTTTGAGTTTTAATTAGTCAAAAAATTAAAATATTTCGTGCAAACAGTTTTGCTTTGTGGGTGAACCTTGACTACACCAAGTTCGGTACTTTTTAGTTTTAATGAGTCAAAAACAAAAGTATTTCTTCCAAACGACTTTTAGACAAACTTTTGTTTCTTTTATGTTGTAATCAGCTGCAAAACTTTTTTTTTAAAAAAAAAAAAAAGTTTTCGTGCAAACCAGTTTTGCTCCCTGTTTGAACCTTGAGAACTACACCAGATTTGGTGCTTCGTAGTTTTAATGAGTCCAAAAATAAATAAAAAATTCGTCCAAACAACTTAGCTTGTACTAAATTTTTTTACAATTGTTTGTTCTATTTTAAACAACCAAAAAAGTAATTAAAAATACTTCCTATAAACGAAATTTGCTCCTTGTTTGAACCTTAATTTCACCGAGTTCGATACTTTGAAGTTTTAACGAGTCCAAATAAAAAACATTTCATCGAACCCACTTTTACTAACTTTTTAAAACTTACGTAGACCTACTTTTGTTTCTTTTGGGTTTTAATTAGCACTAAACAAAATAAAATAAAATATTTTGTGCAAACGAATTTTGCACCTGTTGTACGATTTAGAATCCTTTTTGTAAGTGTACACAACCGTTGTAGCAAGTGATAAAAAAAATCGTATGACAGGGATTGATAACTAAATACTTCATTATTTACTAAAGAAAACAAACAACTTACAATATATATTGAACAATAAAAAAGCTATGGAACTTAAACAGAATAGTGCATAAAGTGTTTGCTGAATAAGAAAACAAATAAAGACAACAATGTAAAATCAAAGCGATTATCAAGCGAAGTGAGCTTAATAAGAAGGGTACTACTGATGTAACAAAGGTACGGAGAAGAGTTTATGTGACTTGTTCTGGGCTAATGTAAACTATGCTACAACATTAAGGATGTTGATATACTGGCCAAACAGACATAGAGTCTTCCTAGACTTCCCAGATTTTATACTATTCAAGTTTTAAAGCAAAAATGGCAGCGTTTCACTTTAGTGTATAGCCTTACTAGGTGAGTCTTATTCCTATGTATCCACACTCTAACTCAAGTAGATCTATCACGAGATAAAACCAAACACTTCATATTACAATTTTCCAAAAGCTAATAAAGAGATATCCCAATATGCTGATCAAGCACGTTGAAATTCAAACATTAAAAACAACTTTCAACTCATTATATATATCATCATTCAAAACCTAAGCAAAGTTTACAGGCCAAAATCAGCTCACAACATCCTCCCCCTTACAAATAAGACTTAGCTACCACGACCATAAATAAAAGAAGAAAGAAAACTACAAAGAGTTCAATACATAATGAAAGCTGAAGGGAAGAAGATGGAGCTGAGGAATATCAACTTTAAACATGCTCTCTGTCTTCAAAAGCTTCTACGAATCTCCACTTATTCTTTTTCTAGTCTTCATCAAACCCATGGGA